TCCAGGAAAGGCACAAAGCTACACAGAGAAACCCTGTCTCGAAAAACCAAAAAAAAAAAAAAAAAAAAAAAAAAAAAGAATAACTTTGGCTCTTTCAGTAAAGACAAACTGATTGTGACTCTTGTCTCCCCTCATTCCTGTCCTTCACTCACTCATTCATTCCTTAGTCAAGGTCATCTTGAGTATGAAGTGTGTTCACACTGGTTTATATTAGCAACAGAGTCTCCTATAAGAAAGTGTCTATTTTATTGTACTAATTTTCAGTATGAAGTGATATAAAACATTTTGAGAATGAATAAAATGATAAAAGAAGGTAAAATTCAGTAATTACAACTTACTGTATTTCTCATATATGTTTTGCAGCAATGGCATTGAAAGGTTGAGAGTATGTGCTATGAAATTAGGATGTGAGCACTCACCATGGGTATGATTTAGAAAATATGAATTTCATTTTCCTTGTCATAATCTGAAAAATTGTGATAGTAATACTTATTTTGCAAAATATGCATCAGTTTGCATATGCAAAGGGCAAGGTAGGTACCTGAAGTAGCATAAAATGGAATGTAGAAAATATATACAGACATTTGAAAAAGTAATTTAGATTTAAAAGGAATTCAAGAGCAAGACAATTTCTTTTAAAGAAGTAAAAATATACAAATATAAAGGAACATATTGATAGATTTCAACACATGAGAACCATTAACTTTGATATAAAATACAGCACAAAAATTCAGTCATATCAGCTGAATCAAGGTAAAATTCAAATGCAGTAAAAATCCAGTGGAGATATAGAATATTTTGATCTAATTTTCTTGCATTTTTTTTTAGTTCAGACAATAGCCATTCTGTTTTCTATCAATATAGGTTGTTAGTCTGCTCAAGAATTTCATATAAATTAAACTCTTCAGTTTCCCTTTGTGATTGGCTTACATTGCTGAAAAATAAGCATAAACAAAATACTGAAGATGCAACTATTATACCCTAAAAATACTTGCAAGGAACATAGCAGAGATTAATTGCTACATATTAATAAGAAAAATACAACCCACAGAAAAATATTCAAACGTATAATAGAAATTCCCAGAGGAATTAGCCAATAAAAAGTAGCCAATAAAAATGTAAGAACATTTTCTATATAAAAAGTGGATTTTTTTTTAACAGATCCTGCCTCAAGTTTATTTGTAAAAACAGCATGGGGTCCTGATCATCTCCAAATAGTGTGTAGGTGTGTCACACCAGTCCATCTGTCTGGCAGACAGAAACCTTTTCTATGGGGCCTTCACAGGGGCCTGGGCACCTTTGGGAGCCTGAGCTGGAGCTGAGGCCTCTGCCTTGGTTTGAGCCTTGGGCTTTGGTTGGCAGAGCCTACAACCCTTGGCCATGTAGCTTCTAATCTGCTTCCTGAGCTTGGGGTGAGCGATGAAAGCGAGAAGGCTGAGCTTGCCGCTGGGGCCCTTTGCCATCTTGGGCTTCACCGCCTTGGGCTTCACCAGGGCCTTGATGGCCTCTGCACGCGCACTCACTGCCTTTGCGTTGTTGGCCTGCATCTTCTTCAGGCCTTTCTTGTTGTGCTTCTTGGCAAAGCGCATGTTCCTCAGGAACTTGGGGTCCACCCCCTTAAGAGATTCGTATCTTTGTGACCGGGGTTTCTTGATACCATTTCGGAGCCATTTTCGAGATTGGTTGTGTGTGGTGTGGTTCTTGGACTTGGCCATGTCCGAACGGTAACCCGCGGCTCCCGAGGCGCCTGGGACCGGAAGAGAAAGAGCAGATTTTCTTTTTAAATTATTTATTATATTTTTGTACATATTAGTGGGTTTCTTAAAGTTTTTTTTAACTCAAATACGTCATGTCTTTTGACTATATTTAGTACCCATTACCCTCTCCTAGGCCACTGTTTATCCTTTATTCTTCTCCAAATAGATACTTCCATTTTAGTAGTGAGTGAGTGAGTGAGTGAGTGTGTGTGTGTGTGTGTGTTTGTGTGTGTGTGTGTGTATGAGAGAGAGAGGGAGAGAAACAGAGAGAGAGGGAGGGAGGGAGGGAGGGATGAAGGGAGAGAGGGACATCCTACCTTACTTGCTTATTAAGGAATACAACTATAACCAGTAAGGTAATACCACTGTTTTCATCTATAACATAGACAGAATACTTTAAACATCCTTTATAGGGAAATTTAGTTATGTGCACCACAACAAACTTTCAGTTAGTCATGGACTACATATGGCAGAGTAGCCCCATGAGGTTACACTATTGCTTAGATGTATAGCAGCTGTAGCATCGAAGTTTGTGAAAGCACAGTCTTGTTTTTATACAATGAAAAGCCTATGTATTTCTCAAGATAGATTTGTCATTAAGTGACAAATGACACATGAGCAAATGGTACCTTCAGATGCAGCTTAGAGAAGACTGTGTAGAAGTGTCACTAGTGTATTAAGCTTCATCGTGACGGCTCCAAATATGGGCAGAAGCCAACCTGAAGTAACTCACACACAAATAAGAATAGGAATAATAGGAAAATGTCCCTGCTTTTCACTATCCTTATAAGGGTGTTGGAACACCTTCCAAGTCTTTAAAGGAACCTTGAGAAACAGACACTCAAAGTGCATTTGGACATATTCTAGGGGTCTCCTTTGTAGTGGGTAGCCATTCCAGCTTTGATCTGGAAGTTCCAACCCCCACTGAGACTTCGGTAACTGTCACGCCTACAAGGCGAGGCCGAGAGAGGACCCTGAAGACCCAAGATCAGGATGGGCTGGCTCTCTTGGTTCCTGGACCTAGGACACAGAAGCTGAAGGTAGACTGAGCAGAGCCGGACTGTGCTACACCTTTCCCAGACCCTGCAACCTATCCCTTCACTTGTAAGTTACTCCACAAAAAAAAAAAAAAAAAAAAGAGTTTTCTTGACTACACACTGCTTTGATAGAACTGCTTCTGATAGTTAATGTTACACATGGCTCCAGATCCAGAGCTGATGGTAAACTGTAGAACCGCCATGTTGGGAAGCTGAGGTGGGCAGAGCCAGCAGCCAAAGCGCTGTTTCAGTCTTAGTAATGCTACAGTTTAAAACAATAGGTTCACAGTAAGACAGATTCAGATGGAATAGTTTACAATATGTGTAAAAATGTACATAGGCTTGAAAGAGAGAGAAAAAGGAATATAAACAGTTATATTAAAAATACATAGTTTCCCCACAGCACTCCTCTGAACACTAGCTTCACACATCTTAATGATGAATAGTTTTCTCCATTTGTTGGAAAATATTGAAGTCAAACCACTCTGAGTTTTATGCCAAGAACCTTCCACCAACAGAAAGGTACTAACACAAATCTAAGGCTCCCAAGTTCCAAAATTTCAAAGAAGATTTGTTGGCCATGATTATATCCAATGAACATCTCTGAACCAATAATTGATAACCAAAGACTCAAGATTCTCAGTTTGAGTCTGGAGCCATATCTAACCCAAACCACTATACCATAAGATGAGTTCACATCACTTGGCACCTTCCAAATGAAGAATGAGAGAGAGCAGAATTTTTAGAATTATGAAATGCTAGTCACAAAATAAATATGCTAGTCAGATATGGAGATTAATATATAAGCAAATGGAAGCGGCAGCACGTTTGAACCCATTTGTCCTTGGAGAAGGAAGACTCACTAATCACCATGACATGATTTTACAGATGTGTAGATGAAAGCAATTGGTGTGCACTGTGGAAAAGGAAAGCTGGTTCTGAGGGAATCACCTATAGTGAAGGTCTACTGAGAAGAAGCAATCATTAACCAGGGCATGATGCTTTACTTATATCATTCTAGATTATAAAGCATAAGGACACACAGACCCTCTTCTAGTGTTCAGAGTCACTTCCTATGTATCCCTAATAGCTGGTTAAAGTGAATGGACAAATAAACCTTATTAGAAAGTTCTAGTCTTTGCCTTCAATGCCCATAAGTAAGCCACTTAAATTATCTGAGCTTCAAGGTTCAACCTTCAAAAAATAAAAATAACAATGTTTACATGATTTAAGTGATAAATATATTTAAGCATCTGGTAGAGTCGAAACATGGATGAATGAAAATTTGTTCAATCAATCACTCACCAAAATACATGTGGGTGATTTAGAATTTTCCTTGTTAAAACTAAACACCTTTTGACTATGTTGTATCAGTTTTTTGAGCAAAGATTTTATTTTCTTTCACTGAGATAAATTGCCTAGAAAGAAGCTGGTGGGTTTATGATAGTTGCATGATTCAGTTTATAAAAGAATATTCAGCAGTGTCTGTACCATGTTTTCATAAAGTCCCAACAACACAGATAATTTCTCCACATTCTCAACAGCTTTGGGCATCACATTCTGTTTTGTTTTAGCTATTCTGATGTGTGTGCTAACAGCTCATAGTTTTAATGTGTATTTCTCTAATGACTTGTGATATTGAACATATTTCATATGTTTATCTTCTATATTTACATCCTATTAGGGGAAATGTCTGTTCAAGCATTTTGCCCATTTTTTCTGATTGTACTGATTATTTGTATTTTTAAAAGATTTCTTTATAAGCATTGAGAATACTTTGTGCATTCTGGATATTGGTTTGTCCTTTTTTCAGATAAATCCTTCACAAATATTTGTTACGTTTGACATGAGCTTCCTGTGGATGGCCTGCATTTGAATCATGTTTCTTTAAAGCCCTTTTCAAATCTCTTTTACTTGGTAGCTATAGGCCATTTATAATGGAGTATTGAGAAGTACTTCTTTTGCTATTCCATTTTACCTTCTGTTTGCCCTACTTTTTTGTCCTTTATTGCTCTCATTGCTACTGTGACATAGTTTAGAATTCCTTGGTTCATCTATGATGTTTTCCTATGTGGTTTTATACATATAGCTCTGCATGTGTGTGTCTACATCACACATTTACCACAAATTCCTTTGACATTTTATCAGTTCAGCAGAAGTATAGAAAATTTATTCAATTTTTGTTTTTATTTTCCTACATGTATATTGAAATTGTCTAAATATTTTATCTACATATTTTCCCTACCATATTAGATATTGTTGTGGAATATTTGGTTAACTATGTAAAGAGGTGCTGTATTTGTTTAACTATGTAAAGATGTGTTGTATTTGTTTATGTTGCAGAATATTGTTTAACTATATATGTACAGATATGATGCTGTTTTACCTTGCCTGCCTAAAGTACCTGATTGGTCTAATAAAAAGCTGAACAGTCAATAGTGAGAGAGGGGGTATAGGCAGGACTTCTGGGCAGGGAGCATAAGTAGAAGGAGGGATGTAGTCTCAGAGGAAGAAAGAAATAGAGATGCCAGGGGCCAATCAGACAGACAGTGAGGAAGGAGGGAAGTATGACATACAGAATTAAAGAAAGGTCAAAAGTCTTGAAGCAAAATGTAGATGAATAGAAATGGGTTAAATTAAGTTAAGAGAGATAGTGGGACAAGCTTAAGCTAAGTCTGAGCATTCATAATTAATAATAAGCCTCCATGTCTTTATTTGGAAGCTGGTTGGTGGTCTAAAGAAAATTCCAATGACAAGATATTGCTAAATTTTCCCCTTGAATCATCAGTTATGACTTGAAATGTCAAAAGCAAAAGAGAAATATCCTACTTACCCATAATTTTGCTTTCTATGAGTCATCTTCCTCCCTAACGCTCCAATACTCTTATTTTGTTTGTTTAGAGAATGCCCAGCAATCACTATGTGAGGGAAATTTGCTTAGTTTTTCATCATCTTGGAATCTCTGGGTTTCCCCCTTTCATTCCTATGAGATGCTTTCAATGGACACAGGATATTAAGTTGATAGCTCTTTTCCTTCAGGACTTGTACTATACTTCCTTTGACCTCTATGATTTCAGACAAGAAGTTCCTATGACTTTTCCTTTATACATAAAATGCTATTTCTCTCTAATGGTCTTCAGGATTTTTCTATGTTTTTAATTAATATTTAGAAGTACAATTATGTGTCTTGAATATATTTCTTGGAGGCGTCCTATTTGAAGTTCAATCAGCTTCTTGAACCTGTAGGTTCATGTCTTTTACCAAATCTGACATATTTTCAGCTACTATTTTTCAAAATACCTTCCCAGATCAATCTCTTTCTTCTTTCTCAGTACTATAGAGTTTAAATATTGGCCTTTAGTTAAAGTCAAACACATTCCTGGTCTCTTTATCTTTCAAAGTATTTTCTCTCTTTTGTTCAGATTGGTTATTTCCTTTATTTTCAGTTTACAGATTCTTTCCTCTTTCTCTTCCATTCAACTGTTGGATCCTTCTATTAAAGATTTTTGTTGCTGTTGGTATTATTTTGTTTGGGTTTGAGGTTATTGTATTTTTCAGTTCTAAGTTTTTTATACTTTCTGCTTTGTGAGAATTACTATTCTTTCCATATTTAAAGCATGTTACAATCACTCAGTTAAACGTTCTTTTAAATGCTGTTTTAAATTTCTCTTCATTTGAATGAAGAGGATAGAAAAATATCATCAGTACACTGAAATAAAGAATAATAAAAATTACCCAGAAACCGCAGACAGACAAGGGAAAGAAATTGGGGGGGGGGTGCGTGACTAAAATAGAAGCTCTAAACATTTATGTTGACAGAATACAGAAAAAAATGCCAAAGCTAAAAATGTATGGCTGAAAGCTTTCTAAACACTGACATGTCAATCATCTCATTGTCAATATCCATTTATATAAGATTTTCCTGGGTCCTAGTGTCATGAATCAGGTCTGGT